TGGCGAATCACTGGAAGAAGAAACAGCATAAAAAATTGCGAAAAATGTTAAAACACAGAGTAAAGGTCAAAATCTACCAAAATGAAAAGTCGCACATGGATTTCCCTAAGATCAACTCCTTTCTAATCCGGAATTCATTCTATTACTTACAATTAGTGATAAGATGCGCCAAGTTGATGCACTCCAAAGCACGGCATCCATTTTATAGTTAAGATTCTTATTTCGAAATAAATACCTCGGCACTGACCTGGGCGTTTCAGGTGCATCTCCAATCGAGATGAGCTGCATCTGGCTTACGTTTGTGCTTAGATGTACGTAGTCAAGATTATCACCAAATGGCATCTGAAGTGAGTTCATGTCTTGTGACCACCTCCATCCTTCCTCGCATAGAAAATATGGACCAATTAATTCACCACGTTCCACACACACACGATACGAATTGGCAGCAATTGACGGATGTTTGAGAATACTAATAGTCGGACAAAGAAGCACCATTGCACTAGAATGTCAGGCGCTGTCGCTAGGCGAAATGAGAATTTCGGTGGAGAGAATTGCCTTCGATTAAAACACCAGCAACGCTAAGTGCCTTCATGTGATGTGTGTCTGTTCACTGGCTGAATAATTTCAGGACACCATTTTCACTTTTGGTAAATTTAACTTTAATCGCATTTTAAACCCAAAAATACGTTGAACATGCATTGTTGTGACTCAGGTCGAAGGCGATCAAGCAAGTTACTTTGGAAACATTTGATGGTAAGACTGCTGAGACCACAAAACGATCGGTAGAACTCGAGACATGACGAAACCGAGTTTTAATAGAAATGGAAAACTTTTTAGAACACATGGCCTTATGGAGGTAAAATGAAAGTTGCAAAAGTTTGCAACGTTTCGATTAATGCACAGAAAACATCGAAAGGACAAAAAACTGTTTTTGGCATACCGTGATCCCCGAAACAGAACCGTCGAGATGGTCAATTTAGCCCAAAGTTTAGCACGAATTGTATGAATAAATCGTCACAGGCAACCGTTTTCTTAGTGAAGAATAGGAAACGATAGAAAATATGCAAAAAATTTGCCCTAACGGTAGATACGGTGGTGATTGGATGAGTTGAGGTACAGTATAATTGCAAAGCATGCGATAATGGAAATATTAGCGAAACAATAGACAACTCTGGATCCGTTTAAACGGACGCCTAGTTGAGAAAGATAGAGTTAAACGAAACACTCCACTTTGCACGCATAGGGGACAAAGACATAACGGAGAAGATACAGCACCACCCTCACGCGGGAATCTATAGTACTAGCGTGTAAAACTCTTAAACTGTTCTAGACTATTTCCAATAATCTAAAAATAAACCGCAAAGAGAAGTATCACGTGATCACTCATGACGTAGTCCCATACCTCAGGGTAATTTTTTTACCTGAGCCAGGGACATCCCTCACCTATGTAAGACTCTGTCCAACCAACAAGCAACTTAAAGGCTTATAGAAAGAAAAACGGTACATGTTTTAAAAAAAACTGGTTCCTAAGCAATTAAAATTTGGGTGTCAAGATTCTTCCGCAGAGGTTATGAAAGTGATAATGAAAGACTGAGTAAACTCCGTTTTAATATGAGCTATCGAGGTTCAGCAAAAGGCGAGATCAGCCAAAGCATTAGCTATCGTGAAATAAGCATTGCAGTAACAAAGTTGCGTCTGCTCATCACAACAGCAAATTAATGAAGAAGTGTCTAGTGACTGATGTGAGTGTAGCGCAGTTGTTAGAGGCGCCCCGCAATGCACATGGGTTCGATCATGTGAACAAGGCTCGCCAAATTTCCCATTCCACCGTGGTAGGTGGATTGGTACCAGATCTGTCTGGAGAGGATAGCAGCACTGAATTGGTATATCGGTATGCAAGACGAGTCATTATATAGGGCAGATATGCACTCTGTCACCTCTAACGGTGCTTGACGAAGTCGAATTACCTGCGCATGCTTCAGGGATGAGTTAAGGCCGAGAGCCTTTAGCTCTCCTAGACTCGCAATTATATGTTTAGATCATCCGAAACAACACAAAACAAATACTGTGGTTGACGGAGGAAAGCAAGTTTACCCTTCATCTTCTGATCTAAGGCATCTTCATAAATCCAATTACCTAGAGACAGTTAAAGATCATTAGAATCAAATCATCAGTAAGCACTTATTCTACCATAATGGAATTTTTATATTCTGAAGTCTGAAAATCTGAAAATCTGTTTTTTTTAGCTTCTCGCCAAGAGTTTTGTTTTTCAAGGTGTAAAGTGACTAGACAAGTAAGTGGGATGCCGATCAGCCTCATATGACGATTCCATCGAACGCAACCTTGTTCATGTTTGTGGCTGAAGTGGCACAATTCGAAAATTTCAACTGTCTCTTCTACGACTTAATAAAAGAAATACAAGATAAAGCTCTCGGCGTTGATTAGTCCCTGAGGGATGCACCATGCATTCGACTTCATTAAGCAACGTTTGGAAGTGATTGAATGCATATCTGGCCTTTACAATGACTCGCGGTGGCCTACCGATGTATCGAGCCAGTGCTCCTATCCTCCTAGACAAGTCTAATACCAGCTTGCGGACGCCGGAGAGATGGAAAGCTTGGTGCACCAAGAGCGCGGGAATAGATCCCATGTGCATTGTAGGGCGCCTCCGACCACTGCACTGCGATTTAAGAATACTTTTAATTATATGCCTTCGTTTCTTTGCTTACGAAATTTAAACCTTTAAAAATTCGAGCAAAAATAAAATTCTATGGAAATTGTCCATTTCCGCGCAGGTATTCCCTATAGCCCGTTCATTCTATTCTATAAGCATGGAAAGTGCTCGCTTTTAAAACTTCGAAGTAACGATAAATTCTCAGCAGTTATCGAATGACTAGCGCGCTCACAAATACCGTAATAATGTTTGAAGCAGAAGCGATTCACCACTCCTTCATTGATAAGATAACACAAGCGTGATAAAAGGACTTTATTTGGCCAACGTTTCCCGCCTTCGCCCTCTTCACGGCTGAGGCGAAGATGAAGGGGTGGAAAAGTTGGTCGAAAGTTTCTTCTATCAACCTTGGGTTAGCATGTCAATGAAATGGCACATATTGATCAGTTACTTTGGGGTTAACGGAAAGTCGGCTTCTCAAACTTGCTCGGTGTTTCCATGGTAAGCTAAAATGTTGTCATAAAAGTCTTTGTTCAACTAAGCCTTCGGTGGGTGCATCATCACCATACCGAGGTCAAACGAAATTGGGTTTACAAAAGTTTTCTTTTTTATTTTATTTTATTTGACCGGTCTACAGGTCTACCGCGCGGATTCCAGCACTTCTCAATTCGTTTCCCCGCATCCGTTGTCCACGAAGATTTCCCCACACTGCTTGAGGATTCTCATTTCATCTTGAGTGCTGTAGAATGCTGACCGAGAAATTCTCGCTGGAGTCCTGAGATGACCCGGCTGGAGCGTTCCAAATTGGATTGCAGAGAGCGATTTTTTCCCAGACAAGTCTGGTACCAATTTCCCGACCCCGGGGGATAAGAACCTTGGGTGGCTCAGAGCGGAATCGAACTAATACCATTCACGTGATGACGGACATCACTAACAATCTGCTATCCACCCCCTTTACAAAAATATTACTAGCAGAGGAATTAATCATCAAATTAGATTTCCATTGAGAGTACAAAAAAATTACTAGAAGAGAAATTAATCACCACAAAGTAGTCGCAACATCGATGAAATAAATTCCCTTTTAAGACATCCTTAAGCAAATAACCGAATACGAACTATGCGAAGCGGCCTTGGATATTTCCATGTATTGTTCGACTTTTTTTGAACACCTCTGAGGGACACTGCTAAGTAAGCGGGAGCCTGTCTCGGTGACCGCAACGAGACTCCAGTCGTTTACATTCCGCCTTCATGCGGAAATTTTCGATTTGTTCTGTTGATTGAACACACCAAAGTCCAAAGCACACAAGAAATCAGGGTTCAGAGGATTTTCCTCTACAAGGTGTAGTTTTATTACGTAGTAAAAACAGCCAATACCGAAGGTGACATTAGCAAAAGCTTGAACTCTTTCCGGGGACGGAGTCGTCAATAAAAGCCGTGTTTCGGTCATTTTTTCTTGTGACTTGTTACCGAGTTTTGAATGCTCTTACTAAATACTATTAATCCTCTTATTATTAGTTAGTTAGGTAGTTCTTTAATAAATGTTTCAATACAGAGGCTTTAAATTTCATGCAATGCCAAAATAAAACAGATATAAAACTACAATGATACTGAGATGTTTGCCAAATTCAGGACCGCAGGTGTCTGCGGTGGGGAACGAACGCGATATTTCTCTTTCCGGCGGCTAACGAGTTCACCACCACACCATGAGGGTCCTCAAAAAACAAGAATGTTTTGAAAAAGAAACTCGCCAGAACTTAGCGCAGAATATTAATACAGCTCATAAAAACAAACGAATAAACAAAAGAATACAATAAACATAGAGTAGAAAAAAATCAGTAAAAAGATCTACAAGTGTAAAATGAACGTCACAAATTGTTACTTCTCGGGCTGGCCTTGTAGAACTAAAGTGGCCAAACATCAACTTTTTTAAAATCAAAGGCAAGCGAAACTCATATCATCTGAGCGCGAATGCTAGTAGATTGAACTTCTTCTTACAAAACGTCTCTAGTAACCAGATGAGAAAAATTGATTCCTTTTCTAAAATCCCCAGAATACAATATGACATTGGAGGGGACATTCAGGCCGTACTTCAATTACTACGCACAGTAACGGTCACGTTGACCACGGATCAGATTACAACGACGACGATAATAAACTATCGAGCGACGAGTTCACGAGTCTGAAGAGCGGCGGAGAACTGTGGCTGATGAAAGAGTAACGTACTAGTAAGAAAATTTGCTCATTGCCGATATCAAGATGCGTAAAGTCACGAAATCTTATCGATAACGTTAATTAAGGCAAAAAGGGTCTCGGATCCTTCAATGAGCCAATGATAAAAAGATGTCTTGGAGTTGTGCCAGACGCCAACGTCTCATGGCTCCAGGGCAGTCGTGCTCTCTCGATGTCTCCGGCTTGCGAATCGATCTGCTCTCATGCTGCCTCCCGAGAAAATGAACTTGCGGCGGCTCATCATGAACGTCACGTACTCGAATATCCTCGATTTCAGGCAGGACTACGATCATTGCCACATTACAGTATGATCCCAGGGATGCGCACTGTTAACGTGTATGGTGCAGTTAGTGAGTGAGCCGTCTTGATGCTTCAGCTTCTGATCTTTCACGCAGAGGGCGGAAACCTAATGCATGCCTTATTATTCCAATCTTGGCTACGTAACTATATCTACCACGTTCAGCGACAAGCTTTTTACAAGTAGGAGTTTTCCAAGGTTTTTGGAAGATACTTTCATCAAAATCCACGATATCATACATTTATGAAGATTGAAGGGAAATAAAGGTGAAGAAGTTGTGTTCAGAAACCGAACAGCGCTATAAAGTAGCGTTTTGAAATAATTTAGAATAATTTAGAGCGTAATGACATTTTAAGCATAACCACAATGATGCTGAGATAAGAGCATAAATTATAACCTCAGGTGGGTTTCTAACCCGCGATTACCCTTCCCAATATCAGCTTAACTATGTTCAATACTGATTTGCACTCCCCAGGCCAATCCCGTCGACGGGTGCTTGCTGATGGCACGAATGGTGGAATAAAAAAAATCGGCTAAGAGAAAGACAAAACAATGGGTGTGGTAGATAGCACGAGAGCGACAGAGAGGGTAATACCGGGTTTGAAGCCCAACTGTGGTTCCGAGTTCTGTTCACTTCTAAGCATTTTTTTGGTTGTATTTCATACAACACTGCCGTGAATAAAAAAGAGTAGGGAACATATGAAAGTCGAGACAATGTGATATTTGAAGCACTTCACATTGAGGTTGACATTGGTTGACATTCCACATTAGCATATTTGTACCTTTCTACTCGTCATTAAAAGGGGGCAGATAGCACAGTGGTAGTGATGTCCGTCATCACGACCATTGTGCTAGTTCAATTCTACTCCGAGCCAAACAAGCCTCACATCCCACCGGGGGCCGGAAATTGGTACCGGACTTCTCTGGGAGACAGAACACCATCGGCAATCCAATTGGAAACGCTCCCGCCTTGCTATCTCAGGACAGAATCGACTCGACCAGTATTCTACGAGATTCAGGATGAAATGAAAATCTCCAAGCAGCAACCGAAGCCATACGTGAAAGTTGGAAGATTTTCATGGATAACGGATGCGAGGAAACGAATCGAATGTGAGAATGGCCCGGATCCGCACAGTAGACGTGAGGACGGGTCATATAAAGTAGAAAAATAAAAGTAAAAAATAATACTCATCATTGATCTGTAAGAAAAAACTCCACCAAAAAGACTAAAAGTCATTTTTTTTCTGTTCGACTCTAATCACTGAATCATATGATAAAAGGAGCTAATTAAGTACGCCAATGACAAATTGCTCGATAACTATTATTATGCTTTCTTATCACACTACAAGAAAAACTTCAGCCCATACAAAAGAATTAAGCCCTCGTTTTATATCAAAGAACACAGTAGAAAAAACCTCGTGCGGCTCGAGTTTATGGTCTCCTTATTATGAGTTAGGACTCCTAGCCATCAGAATGGACACATACCAAGTTGGAATGAATCCAGCCGAATGGATGCGAAACAAAAAAACGAAGTTGAAAATGCAAAGTTCATTTCCAAGTGTTTTTTAAAGAACATTTGTGAGGACCGCAAAGTGCGTCATGAAACCCATGGCCGTAGCTCAATTGATACCACCATATTAAAAGAACAGTTCCGTTGATGTCGTCACCACCCACCTGTCACGAAGAACTAGCACTTCACTTAACTTTTATGTGGTTTTCGTGTAGAATCGTGATATCGTGATTAGAGGTACCCAGCAGTGGCGCGTGATCACTGGTTTGACTCCACACCCTGCTCAAACCAACCCATCCATCTTTTCTAACCGAATTGATTGAAGAAGCAACAACTGTGAACAACCGACTCGGATTAATCCGGCTCTGAAGTAGACGAAGACGTTGGAGCGTTAGCTGAATGAACTTTTTTCTCTATCTATCTATCTATCTTATGTTAGTTTATTAATGAAAAAATGCATAATAATTAGTCACGCGGAGGTTCAAGGGAAGTCGGTTTTGAAATAGTGAATTGGCAACCTACCTTATAAGGTACATTATTTATTCATACCAAGGTTAAATTAAGGTCGGTTTACAGTAACACTGAATCAGTACATCGGTTGGTCCGAAGGTATAGCCGAAGTCGAATCAATTCACCTCTATGATTCTATGAATGGAGTCGATTGCATGCCGCAGCCACCCGGCAGTGAGCTGCGCAACATTTAATCCCTAACGCATTGCCACGTATATGCATTGGTATGCAGTGCAACAAATGCACGATTATAACATACATTTCTTCACTTGGCTCCATCGGTTAGACTGCACTGGTTTTGCTCGTAGTGTAGAATAAATTACTAAAGAGAGAATACTGCAGCAGTTTGCCTGCCAGCGACTTATGAAAGGTCGTAGTGGGTAATGCATTAATAAAACTGGTTCCACATTTATGCGCTTCACATGTTTTTTATGGAGACAACGAACGAAATGCCATCTAATTGGAAGTTGCTTCTATGAATTTTCAAAGCGGAAACGAAAGTGTTTACAGGCGTCAAAAAATGTCGACAGAAATCCACTTAGCCGTAATCGACTTCAATAGCTTGGAATAAGGGAGTGAGTAGCGTAGGGGTAGTATTCCTGTTCATTACGCGGACCATCCAGGCTACCTATCCAACAGTAGAGCACTGCCTCGTGCTCATCAAGCATCTCATCCGTCCGGTGTCAGGAAGCTGCTAACGGACTCGTTCGTTCCAAACAAGCTCCCTCCAAGCCATGTGAGAACGCCCCAGCACGGCTAGCTCTTAACTGCAGGGAGAATTATCGCGACTAGCATTCAGTGACATTCGCAACGAAGACTAAAAAAGCTTTAAGCAAAGAGGCGAACTTACACCTAACGTGATACATTCGATTTCTCGTCACGTAATAGTAGAAAAAAGACTTGAAATGAAAGGTAAAATCTAGAGGTAATGTGGTTACTGGAGGGAGAAAAGTTAAAAATAAAATTACATCATAATGAAAAGAAGAATCCAATCCAATTGGCACATGGGACGAAGTATTGTTTGTTAAACGAATGGAAATATTAGGAGAAACAGTGCTAATGTAAGCACGTAAAAGGCCAGAACTTGATTCTGCTGTGTAGATGTCATGCTCAGCACCGTCTAATTCTTTTTACACTAGTGTAGATGCTGTTGCCTCTTGCTCATCAGAAAATTTATAAAGTCCTATCGCTGGAACATTGAATTTAGTCTGCCCCGGTAGCAGACAATTTTAGTTGAACGCTAATAGAATCTCCTAGCAGTAAAAGCTAAACAGATGAATTCCCAATGTATAACTTTTTAAAAGTAATAGGCAGTAAATAAAATTGGGATTTCAACTGCACCCTCAGTTTAACTGGGTCCAAAGGAGTTTCGTGCCTAATATATCATTCCTATCGACGGCTGATTGCTGATAGCGTGGTTAGGGCAAAAGGACTTGCTGATAGAAATCTAAACGAAATCGCTCAGTGGTAACACTTGGGGCCACGGAACGGGTTATCGCAGGTTCGAATCCGCCCTGGGATCCAAGTTTTGCAAATATCTCGGCATCATAACTGTGATTGTATTTCACACAATAATAGGCAGTGAATAAAAAGTTACACATTAATACCACAATGCTTTAACTTACATTTACTGCTTATTCCTGTTTGAAGCACAACCAAAAGGATGTTTAGATATAAGGAAAACAAGGAACCTCATTCCCGTCCGTTGACGCGTGACTGCTGACAGCAACGAGGGAGTAAAAAGGCTGGCTGAGAGAAAGGCAAAGCAAAAGTTTAGGTTGGTATGGTTGGCACCAGGTGAGCTAGTGGTGAAGCTAATAGTGAGTTCGAAGTCCAACTAAGGCTCTTAACCACTCAGTTGTTAGAAAATAGATACACGGTTTTAGGCCATCGAAGCTCAGGGATTTGATCTGTCATATTCAGTAATATTTGCTACATATCAGTTTACATTCAAAAAATCCGATTCTTCTTGATGTCTTTTGAGCGATATCCGTATTTGACCTAGGCTTCTTTCAGCGGTCAGCAAAAGACGTATATGAGTTATCACAGAATGACCGTGGAAAATAGTCGAAGAGTTGACAGTTTCTTCAGTTTCTTAGACGGGAAGAGAGAGGATTAGACAGAAGAGAGAAGAGCTTCTATGGAAATGATCAAATATCGTAGGTATCCTACGATTGTCATCTTAGGTATATTGAGTGTGTCAATAAAGAACAAACTAGTCATGATGAAGATGGGAATGAAGAAACAAAGTAACAGGGCTTCCAGTTATGCATCTAATACGGGACCATTTCGTGAGCATTGTGTACTAACCATCAGATGCGCTCACGACATGCTCCATTCTTAGACGCATCTAGAAGAAAACATGACCTTTGGAGGAAACTCACACCTGATCAGTTCCCCATTGAGAATGCGGTTCGCTGCTCTATTTCATCAGAGTCACTTTTCGACACCTTCTCACGATATTTTCCAGTTAGTGTCACCGGAGTTTGAGGATCTGGTTCCGGATCCGGATCTGTTCAGCAAAACTAGTTCTAAAAGCTCTCGGGGTAGATCAATCCCTGAGGGATGCGCCATGCATTCGACTTCACTAAGTATCGTTTGGAGGTGATTAAATGCATATCTGGCTTCGTAGACGATCCAGGAACATTTGAGCATTCGTGAGGTGGGACGGTATTTGCTTCAGCACCTGGATGACATTTGGGTTTACATACCAACCTATTCTATCGGTGGCTTCGTCTACATGGCTGATGATGAGTCTAACCTTGAAGGTTGAATGGTCAATATGCGCTATATCATCACAGGTTACTGACCAGTGCGCTTTCATAAGCAAGTATAAGACGAGAAATGTTGGTAAATCTATTTTAAGTTACGAATTTGGTTTCGAACCTGTCTCGCCTGCCACTTTGACCATCCATTGTTCTAATTTCGATATTGACCTTTGAATTCCTTTTCGACGATGTGCGATAAACCCAAGCATCTTCAACATGTTTTTTTTTGCTATCTTAACATCCAGTTGGCGAGTATTTGCTATAAATTCTTCACCCTTATCACTAATTGATATCCTAAGAGTTTTTGATCCTATTAGTTCTAAAACTTGTCGCATACTAGAATTTTGCGCTGCTATAGAGTTTGAACTGAGCATTCTCTTCCGATAGTGGTGAAGGAACTTCAGAGTTTCGTCCGGAAATACACGAAAATTGATATCTCCTTCGCCGTTGAAGTTTTCCTGTTTAAAGAACACTAGAGGAAAATTAGACGACGGCAATGCCCCTACTTCTCGTCGCCCATTTCTAATTCGTGTGTCAATCCTAGCTTTGTTACGGAGTCGGTCTTGAAGGTCTCTTGAAGGTCGTGCAAACCGCTTGAGATCCTACAGAAGGTTTCTTTAGAAATGGGTTGTGCACTGTCCACTGCTAGACCGCACACATAGTGTAGTCGCTCTCGTTTGATGAAGTTGGGCACGACTTGGTGTTCTCGGCAGAAGCGGAGAAGGAATATCGTTTTTCTAACTAAGACAATTTTGTCTGTTTTAGTAGCACGACTTTGTTTACAAGTAGGAAATATTCTGCTGGCACTTCATGTAGCAAATCCTATGAGCGACTCTCTATTAACCTCGGCAGTGGTCAATAGTTCTGCCTTTTTCTTCAATGAGCAAACAGTGGCGCAGAATAGCTGATGTTTCGGCTGTTTCGCCTTGTTCAGAGCCTGGAAGGGTCAAATTGACAAGCAATCTACTCGGCCAAATATCTTCTTAAACTCAGCAGAAGCAACGTAGCAAATAAATTTTCATTCGCGTGATAAACATCCTTTTTTAAACACACCGTTTTCGTACGGTGTAACTTTTTATTTTTTCTATTCTTTTTATTTTTTATTTATTTACATCCATACAAAGTAGTTGTGTGGTTGTTAAATTTCAGAAGGCATCGATCGTTAAAGAGCTCTGTGGATGGTGTGTAGAGTTCTTGATGTGAATGAAGTAACGGCCTACGTCTCCACATCATAACAGAGAGTTAGGAAGACTGCTGAGTTGGAAAGGTGAGCATGGAGTTCTGGACTCATTAGTTCGTTGATACCTCGTTTGAAAGGCTCGGACTCACCCCATACTGCTACTTTTCTTCTGTTCCATTTCTCCTACATGTTGTTTCGGCGTTCATTAAACGTCCAAGATAAACGTTCGAGATACTCTCTCTAATCAGAAAATTGTCCATTTCGACTTTTACACATTCGGTTTTTGGGTTCATCATGGGTCTTTCATGAACTAGGTCTTCTGCCTATTTCTATGCAGTCCAACACTTTTTCCCGCTACCTACCGTTTTCCGTACCCACACAATGGTGGCTCTTCGAAGCATATTGCTTACAAGCGCCCTTTTTGTGTGTGATAGGTGAGGGAAGAGGACATGAATCAGTATGTTTTTGTTACTCGGCTTTCGATGCGATTTTGTAATGTAGTCGTTTCCGGATAGATTAGTTTGAACGTTTTGAAATAGAAGCCAGTTTTCTTTCGGTTTTTCACGGGAGAACTTCATGTAATCTGACTGTTCGCTGAATAACTCAGAGTACTTGTCCACTTTTTTGATACATTTCAAATTGATGTCGGAAGCCAAGTAATAAGAACATTGTGGTTTATTATCTTTCTTCTCACCCTCATGCGCCAAAGGGCTTATAAGAAATATATTTCGAACTGCCACCAGCATGTACATACGTAGAGAGCAGAAGGAAGAATCTTCGAAACTGGCTCACCAAATAGCCATTTCATATGGATACGAAACTGCAACTTCACGGCATAGGCATGGAGGAAAACAACGCCCCAGAACGATAAATCTAGCGAGAACAAGGCTCTGTTCCTCTTGCTCTTTAAACGAAATAAGTGCAGTTATAAAGCGTTGCTTAATAAGCGCTGGTCTAGAAAATTTCATAAGAATGACAGAAACCTCTCCCTATAAGGCGCCAGCTGGTTCTTAACCGCCTATATGTCCGTCTATGTACAACGAAAGACTGCATAATTTTCCCTAACGGTAGAGACGATGATTGCATGAGCTCGGATACGATCTACCTAAACTCTTGTAAAGCATGTGGAGACGAACACGCTGGCGAAACGGGTAGACAGACCACACTGCTTCCGTTTAAAGGAATATCTAGCCGGTAAATTTAAATCGAAACCAAACACGTCACTAGGCGCGCATAGGACGCAGAAATATAACGGAGAAGATTTTGAAGTAGAAGACACAATCAACACACAGGAATCTAACACATCAGCGCGTAAAACCTTTGAAGCATTTTGGACTAGTTCCAGAAAACCAAAAATGAATCGCTAGGAGGAGTGTCCTGTCACCACGTGTGGCCATACCTCAGGCTGATTTAATGGCCTAACCCAGGCACATTCCTCGCCCTTGTGATACTCCGTAGGGCTGCTCTTCAGCAAATAACCGGTAGACTTACCACGATTAAAATGGCGGATGTTTAAAAGAAGATGTTTATTATGCGAATGTAAATTTATATGTTACGCCTTATCTGCGAGGACTATGAAAGTACCTGACTGAGTATATCTTGTATCAATTTGACCTTTCCAGGATCTGAAAAAGAGAAAACCTAGAAACTACAGCTTTTTTTATCCCAATAAATTCTACAATACCAGCTTAGTAACAGCTTATTGAAGGAAAACAACGAATTGTCAATCAGTGTCGAGGTTAGTAGAAAGTCGGTCTTGGGAAAACCTGTTTTAGTTTACCTATCAAATTTAAGGCAGCAAAGGAACTGATCGGTTTGACTGAGTAATGCAGAGCAGAATAGACTGTTCATCCCTGATAAAATCTCTCACAGAAGAAAACATAACGACGTAATAACAACTGCTAAGTGAAGGCTGACAAGTTAACGAATCGTAGAGATAGATGAATTATCACAGATTACCCGGAAAAATCGATACTACATAAACACTAGGGCATATGAATTAAAATTCTTATTTCTACTGAATTTCCTCTGTAACTTCTACAAAGCATTTACACAATTTTGTAACCTGTCAAAAAATCGGGCCGCAAATTCCATGAACATGTTAATTCCGAAGTCCTTCTGGAACCACATTGAATAACACCGAAAGGGTTATGGAAATCTTGGGTTCCACCTTCCAATGGGAAAACCATTTCGAGAGAAGCTGCTGCTGCTGCTTTCACGTCGAATCAGTCGACTCACGAGGTTGCCTCTTTCTTCGCAAGAATCTCGCCACCACTCGTTAAAGTCTAGAAATTTCTTTATTTTCATGTTATTTAGACCTAGTCTTAAGTTCTAATAAAGGTTTCTGCACTGCATATTTTCTGTGACTGTATATGTATGCTTTTTTCGGCCTTAAAAAATAATTTATCGATTGATGTTTCTTGTGACAATTGCTTTAGGAGAGCAAAATTGCTTTCTTTAATAATGATCATGGTAAAAAACGTTTCTACGGAATATGCAAAAAGAAATGACTTCCAGTAATCTTTAAGGATAGCGCAGATTATTAATCAGATGATCTTCTGAAAGACATACTTGCAATGGAAAGTTTTGGCTTGGGTTTCTCCCACAGAATTCGGCAGATCTGACAAAAAAGTTATTGAACAACGCGTAACTAGTTATTCTTGTAAAAAATAAACAAATTGAGCACCTGACAGAAACCCCACGGACGTTCTAGGACATCGTGGAATTTTCCATTCAGAAACACAACCTTGTACTGCCGTCTCCAGGAAAAGAACTCGCTGAAACTTCTTTGCTTGCCTCTAAGCGACTTCCTAGAAAAGACTATTTCGTCGAAAACTTACGCATAAGCAGTTTTGTTATTCATGAGGTAGTGAAGATAGCGCGCCATCTCCTTTGGACTTTCGAAATCGTCGGCAGCTATGAACGAGTGCGGTGGTACGAACCGCTCCACAATCGAGCGCTGATATAGATCTATCTCAATTAATAAGCCCAAGAAATTCGCATCCTGTTCATTTGATAAGGCAGATTAAAACAATAGCATGCAAATAGTTATTAAAGTGGAAAACACCCTTACTAAATGAAATCCAGTAATACAGTTCGGCCCTTTTGTATTGATTTCAATGCGTGTGGTAAAAATGATAACCACTGCCACATTTTAGCTCTCGTTTCTCAGTACATAATTCATATCAACTTTAGCAAATAGAACTACTAGAATCTCCAGACCTTCTTCAACGTAAAAGACAGCAATTTTCCGATTCTTCTTAATTAAAAACCTGGTTTTCTAGAGTTAACGGAAAATCTTCTATGCCTTTCGTCGTCGAGGCACTTCCTTCGAATAATTGAACCATTGAAAAAGTGGAATATGCCCAAGATAACTCGCCAATATACTGTTGTCATCTGCGGCCGTAAAAGTGTTTACGTTGGAAATTTTTCAGATATCAATTTCCTTTCCAACATTTTAGAAGTTTCGTTTACGAACATAAATTGGAGAAATATTTTGCAGAAAAATTATATCCAATATTGCCCACTACGAAAGAGCAAAGGCTTGCTTTAGAAGTCAACTCAGTTCCAAATTCCTCAACCACAGTGGTTGACGGAACTTGTCAGTATAAAAATAAAAATAAAGCTCGCTGCTTTGATCAATCCCTCAGAAATGCGCCATGCACCCGACTTCATCGGTTGGAGGTGACCGAATGCGTATTTGGCCTTCACAATGACTCGCGGTGCCCTACGGATGTTTCCAGCCAGTGCTACTATCTCCCCAGACAAGTCTGGTACCAATTTTCCGACCTCGCAAGGATGGAAGGCTTGCTGGGCCATGGGCGCGAAGATCAATTCCAAGCGTGTGTTGCAGGGCGCCTCCGCCACTGCGCCACACGCGTGCTTAACTTAATATTAGTCAGGAAACCGTCACAGTGGCGAATGTGTTCACCTGTCACCTGTGTCACCTGTAGTCCTGTTGATCGTCAAGTGACTCGAGCGGGTGCCAGTAAATCTTCCATTTTTCACTGTCGCGTGCAAGAGTAGCCCAGGGTTTCTGCTCGCTCTATGGACTCGTCGAGCATCATATCTTTCTTCAAGACCCTTTGTGAAAAACTTTGATCACTGAGCCGGTGGTCTTCCTGCAGTACGTTTGATATCCCGAAGAATCCAGTCATTAACGGCTCCTGTACATCGGTTGTCATTCATATGCATTACGTGTCCGGCCCACCTTATCTTCGACTGTTTGGCGACCAAAAATGCATCTTCGGTTTTTGATCGTTGATCCAGATCGGAGCTTCGGATCCCATTCCTTACTTGTGTGGAACGGGATGCACCTAGCATCGTCCTTTCGACTGCGCGTTTGATAACGCCGAGTGATCTTTCATCCTGCTTAGGCAGCGACCAAGTTTCTGACGCATACGTTAGGACAGGAAGTACCGTTGAGTCGAAAAGGTGGGCACGGAGTCGGGTGTTCTTTGTTCTTTTCACTACATCCCCGATGCTCTTGAAAGCTCCCCATGGCACCCGTTTTCTTCTGCTCAGCTCTGGAGCTAGGTTCATCATGTTGATTTCCCGACCTAGACAGACATAACTGGTACATTCGGAGATATTCGCTCCGTTGAGCGTGAATAGGACATATGAAACCAATCCGTTCTTCATGAACATCGTTTTTGTGAGATTTAGTCGAAGACCAATCTTTCCACAAGCTTTGTCAAAGTCGTCAAGCATACGTTCCGCTTGGCTAATGTTTGGCGTTGTAAGGACGATGTCATCAGCAAAGCGAAGATGGTGTAACTGCCGCCCATCGATTTTTACTCCCATATTATCCCATTGCAATGTTCGCACGACGTTCTGGAGGGTGGCGGTGGCGAGGTAGTATCGCCTTGTCTAACTCCTGTTTTGCCGTCAATGTTAATATCGTTGTAGAATGGTGATATCTTGATTGCGAAATTTTTGTACAGCTCATGAAGAATCATTATGTATTGAGTAGGAACTCCTTGACTATCAAGGGCTTCCAAGACTGCTTCTATCGCAATTGAATCGAAGGCCTTCTGTAAATCGACGAGAGTGAGACAGAGCGGTCTTTTGGACTCTCGCGATAGATCAATGAGCCGTGTTACCATGTGGATGTGGTCCATCGTATAAGCAGATTAGGCGATAGTTGGCGATATGGTGTAGGTCACCCTTCTTGAACAATAACACTGTCTTGCTGGTCTTCCACTGAGTAGGGACCTTGCATTCAGACAGATAACGTGTGATGAGCCGAGCCAGTATGTTTACGAGGACTGGCGGAAGGTTCTTCAGGTATTCTGGTCTTATCCTCTCCGGACCTGGTGCTGTTCGATTTTTCATCGAAGAAATGTCATGTCGGATTTCAGAAGGAAGAACCGGTGGTACAACATATCCATCCTCTTTTATTTCATATGAGAGATGGACGTGGCTATCGAAGAGATCTGGGTAGTATTCGTGAATGATTTTCTCCTTTGCCTTTCTGGACGCTATAACTGTTCCGTCTGGGCACCGGAGTTCAATCATTTTGGTCTTGTAATTGGCGAAGCTTCGATGGGCTTTGCGAATGCTTTCCCCAGTCTCTGCAGCTTCGACCATTCCTGCTGCTCTTCTCTCTTTAAGATCTTCTTTTATCGCCTGTCTGCATTGTTTTGCAATTTCGGACGTTTGTTCGCGGTTGCCTCATGACGCAGTTTCATTCTAATCCGTGGGTCCCAATGTGACGTTCTTCAAACGTTCTTCTTGGTTCAATCTTGGCGTTGGAATCTCCAATGATGACCTTGAAGAATGTGTGGTCTTCTCTGTAGAACGTCTCCAAGTCCATATAGAACGCTTCGACTTCTTCTTCGTCATAGTTTGATGTTGGCCCGTAAACGACGAAGACTGTCAAAGCTGGAATTGATCCACGTCTTTTTAATCGTAAACATCCGATTCGGGTTGTAAGTTGTTCAAATGAATCGATGTTCATGGACAAACTCGTGTTGACGACGAACTCCTATGCTGTCGCATGTTCCGAGGAACAGTTCTTCTACGGTGTCATAGAAGGCGTTGAAAGGCTGGCGTCTTCTCGTCTCGGCCAGATCGATGACGTCGTACCTTATCCTTCTTGCTTGCATAAGCAAGTCTTCCATCGAGGATTCGGATGCAAATGTACGTGCATTGTAGGTACAGATCGTCACCGTAGTTCTTTGGCGAATGTGTTCACGAACAAGAATTTTGAAAACGTGTTGAAAGGCTGGTTATAATCAGAATTAGCATCGATGACATATCTTTTTAACAATTGTACACCAGGTCACGCTTTTACAAAAAATGAGTGATTCTGTTGGAAATCATTTTTTCTACCTTTAATACTATCGGCACGATAGTCCTCTGATACCCTTGATTCCAGAGCTTTTCAGTGATGTAGTCCTTACAGAGCGAATTCTCAAATGCCACGTAAAAGTGGTAACTGAAGTGGACGATTTCGTTTTCTAGTAAATACATGTGAATTTAAACAAACAAATTCGTAAACTAACTCGTCATCCAGCATTTTTTCGCAGTTGCCTCCTCGCGCACATTTCAGCGAACCGCACCGTCCATAAATATCCACCGGGAAGTATTTCTAGAAAATCCACGCACCATTAAATGGAAATATTATCGAAATGTTCGTACCCAGACTTATTACGATATTCATATCATCTTATTCTTTAATACAATACCAGCTCCTGCACGATGTACATTTCGAGGGTACTGTTAAATTATTCTGCCACCTCATCATGGTCAACTGTGAGTGGTACAGAAATCAAACACTTTCTTTAATGTTTACGTCTTATTCACTGCCTATCACAATTTTTAACGGCAGGGTATTATGTGTGATACAACCACAACGACGCTGAGATAATTGCAAAACTCCGAACCGCCGGTGTGTACGTTGGGAAACGAACGCGCTGTTACCCTTTGTGGGGCTAACTCGTTCACTACCACACCATGAGGGTGATTCATTTCTCCTGTCTCTCAGTTTATCGATTAGTTAGTTTCATCGATCAGTGCAATCAGCAATCACCCGTGAATGGAATTGATCCGAGAAGTTGATTGGAATCACCCTTTCTCTCCCTTCCGCAGCGAACGCGTTAGTCCCTGGAAACGCCTCAGACACTTTCTTCGCCACAAGAAGGCGAAAGACAAAGTAGTACTCCGTGCGGCTGCTCTCCACCAGTTAACTAGAATACTTGCAACGAACGAAGCGGCTCTGAAGAAGGAGAAACCGCCGAAACGTCAGGTGTGGTAATAAATTCTGTAATACCAACCTCGTGTTTGCCCATTCAAGAAAAACGGTTAATTATCAATCAATGCCAAAGTTAATAGAGAGTCGGTTTTGGGAATCGCTATATGAAGTGCCAGCAGAATATTTCAGACAAAATCAATGGAAACGGATTTATAAATACTTGTTCCAAAAGGTGCTCACCATACATTATTCATTTTGAAAGCTGATAAAGGAGACTATCAAGTACAATAGTTAGTTTAACGTTTTTGTTTTCTGCCTTAGTTAGTTAGTTATTTCAATTAGTTCGTAACCGCGTGTATGACTGTCTATGAACAACGCAAAATTGCGCAATTTGCCTTGACGGTAGAAACGGTGATTATTTGAGTTCGGGCACGGTTTCTCTGGTCGCTTTAAAGCGTAGGGAACGAACACATAGGCTAAACCGGTTAAGGACTCTGCTTCCGTATAAAGGAACATCTAGTCAACAAACTTAAAGTTAAGCCAAATAATTTATTGGGTGCTCATAGGGCATAGATGCATAACGAGAAAGACTTTGAAGTAGAAGTTATCCTCAGGGAGGAATCGAAAACCTAAGCCCGTAAAGGTATTGAAGCGTTTTGGATAAGCTCTAAAACCCAAAAATGAACCGTAAGAGGAGTTATGGCATTTCAATGCGAGAGATGCACGTTAAGCACCCATACACGTTCCGTGCGATTGGTCTACACGTGAAATACTCAGTAGAAGACTCTAGGAAAGCAGTGACTCTCCAAATAAGCTCTTTTTTCAAGGCTATTGAAACCTTGGTTTTGTGTTTTTTTCTGTTTTGCTCATGGGAATGGTTATCTGAATATTCTGCTGTCAATTTGAACTTTCCAAACCCTAACGACAGCGAAATCGGCCGAAACGTCGGCTTTTTTTGTCAACTAAGAATAAAATAACAACCTCGTGTTTGCTTATCGAGAAAACAGTGAATTGTTTGAAATTGCAATATTATGCAATTGCTGTAGGTTTTCGATAACAAAGAGGATCGAACATCATATTCTCAATATAAATTAAATGTAATTCAAGTAAGTGTAATTGAAAGACCCGCATGATGTGGTGGTGAACACATCACCTTCTGGAAAGGGTAATAGCCGATTCGGTCCCCACTGCAGGCACCTGCGGTCTGGAACTTTGCAAGTATCTCAGCATCACTGTGGTTATTTTTAATCGAACACTGCACGAAATTTACTGCGATATGGTTGTACTGGCTTCCTGAGATGAAGTAGTTCATTCAACGTTGATCTATTCCACAGGAAGTACGCGTTGAACTCTACTATTAAGCATCCTGGAGGATTGAATGCATATATGCAATACAACAACTTGCTGTAGCCCACTGATCGATCAAAATACTGTTACTGTCCTCCAGATGGCATTAATCTGCCTGTTGAATTTGCAGGTTACAGCACATGTTGAGCCGGGAGCGAGAACGAAGCAAAGAGCTTTTGTTTATTGGAGTTCACTTTTAATCGCTGCGCTACATATGCTCATGGAAACAAAAACAAGTTGTGAAAGTAGAGTCGAATATTGTGGTCAGTTCTCGTACTGTGGTGCTTGCTATCTTTTTCTGGCAGAATCCACTGCTGTAAACCGAATGCAGTAATGTGCTTGCTCTTCAAAATCTACCTTCAATTCATTAACGTACTCCTCTCTCATGCTGTGCGTGTGGCAGTTTGACACGAACCAAGCGGCTCCTTTCTTTTTCCCATTCACCGTCGCCATATCGACCACCTAAATAATCGTTAGTGCGGTTACTTCATAGCTAGCTATTAAAAATTGCAATAATTCTTTCTTCGCATGCAATTCACCTTGCAAATCAAGGTTTTGAATGAACCGAGCGCAATAATGTGGTTGCTCTTCAACGTAACCGCAAAGTGAAAACGCAGCTGCCTGTTTGTCAGTGAATCACCTTCCCAATCGCCGATGATAGAGTGATTTCATGTGACCGAAAAAAATGACTTTACCTCTTCCGAATGCACCAACTTGTCGGCGAGCTTTACCGTATACCCGTACGGTGAGGACGCCAGTGTGTCGTGGCGAAATCCCAGTGAGAAGTTGAAGTAGTCCGGCCGGGAAATATCAACGTCAGCATGTGCTGGTGATTCCTGAATAGTTCTTCTGCGTCTTGAAAATACAACAGTTCAACTACGTTTGATAATTTTTTTTTCTTATTTGGAAAAGGAAGGGAAATGAAAGAAATCCTCGACGTGTTCCACCTACCTGACTGAAGTATATCACGTACTGGTCACTTCTTGTACGCTCAAAATTGAGATCACTGTGTTCAAATAAAACCTAAAGAACTGGTTTCAATGCTCTTAACTCCTTTTTTAGTTCACTTGCAAATTATTCTAGTGCACATAGTATGGATTTAAGGCACAATATGTTAAATCACCAAAAAGTCTTATGCTACTTTTAAGCACTGAAAAGGAACTCCCTATGCTCTTTTCTTAGACCATATCTGTCCAAAAGACATCCACAAGAGAAAGTTTGGATGAAAACAATGACAATGGAGAAAATCTACTTGTAGCAATTCCCATGATCGACTTTCTTTTAACCTCGGCATTGACTGATAATTCGATGTTTTTCTTCAATAAGCAGACACGAAGTTGTTATTATAGAATTTATTAGAATACAATAACTGACGTTTCGGCGGTTTCGCCTTCTTCAGAGCTGTTTATTTGTTGTACGTATTTAAGTTAGTTGATGGATAGCAGCCGCACAGAGTAATAAATGGGCGATAACTGTGTCCTATAAAAATCCTATAATGACAACCTCGTGTCTGCTTATTGAAGGAAAACATCGAAAGTCTACTTGATTATGATGATTTTTCATAACATATCTACACTCTGTAGCTTTCCTATTGTGATGTTTTTGCTTCGTTCTATAACTGTAGACCATCATACTGTTCTCCGACAAGTTCTAGCACTTCCCACAGATGGCACTTGCATGCGAATACTTGGAAAGTTAAAACTATCATTGGCTTTCTTGTTGGCATTTTCTATAACTACTATTCACTAGGATCTCTCTTACTGCGGGGCATTTTTTTATTCATTTACCCTGTTTTTCATTCTTTATCTATTTATTTATTTAATTTGCCACAAGCTACACTAATATTGGATCAACAACCAACATAATCTATCGCATAACAACCAATATCATTTGGAAACTCACAGCATCAGCCAAATGTTGTTTCTGCCTATCGTAGATAATTCGGCAGTTCCAGTCAAGGCAGCCAGCGAGGTTTTCCTTACTGTGACCCGTATTCCAGGAGAGGATGACTCGTGGGGGAGCTGAAACTACTTGCTGGGAATTTCAATTGAAAAACCGAGTTTTGGTCCGTTTTTCATTTTCTGTATGAAATCACAACCATTATATGAAATGATAAGACTGCGCGGATAACCTGTTCTGTCGACATTACATGTTAGTCGCTCTCTAAGAGAGATTTCACTATCTGTAAGCAGCCGTTCGACCAAAAAAGATGGTCCTTTTGCGGGAGTAAAGTTGAACTCTAAAAACAAGGATTAGAGTACAGAATACTGTGGAGCATATCTTCTCGAAAAAAAAATGTAAAGCTTCTCACCACCCCGGGCACTGTTTGGAAATTCTGCGTAACTCTCACTTTGAGACGTTATTTCCGCGTTATTCAAAAGCTTTTCGGACCTCAGCGACTCCTGAAAGATCAGCTACTTTCCACGGCGAATTTTCTGTGGAACAGAATCCATGTATTTTCTGTAGTTCTGCCTAAACTTCAGTAGCAGAGGAGGCTATTATTTCAGGGTTATCAAATCTTACTTTTGACAACATTTGACTTTTATGTGTATACACCTCAGCGTTTAATTGAAGTTGTTAACCTAAATTAAATTTGATCCAAAAACGCAAATATTGATGTCTGTAAAATTTCGGTAAAGTTCATTTCGTTTACTTCGCCTATAATGACAGTTTCCAGCTTAATCCTTGTTTTCCGTAGAGTTCATTCATAAGCTTTTTCATATAGAAATGTGCAATAACAATAAAAAAGTCTTCTATTCTTTTTTGTTTGTTTTTCTTCTTCGTGGAGAGAATGGAATCTTTGACATAAAGATATAAGCCGCCTATTCGCGACCCGCGACCCGCGAACCGTCTTTCCGAGTCAGGGGGCGGAGTTTTTCTTTCCCATTCAAGATGCACGGTTTATTCAATAAAAATTAGGATCTCAAACATGTAACAATCGTTCGATTTATAAAATTCCACTTTGTATTATAAGAAAAACACATGTGCTTGCTGAGCCATTAGTTCTATCACCTACAAAGCCGTTATTCATCGAATAATTCAAGCTGGTGGCAATAAATTCTATTCGTCCCCGTCATGCAGTGGCCAAATTAGGCTCGATTTACTCAACGCACGCCAAAGTCCTTAATTTTTCCATATGGAGTACTTTTCAAGTGTTTTTGTGAGCCACGCCCATCTGTGGCAACTGCTCCTATAACAGAGGTAAAATATTTGTGCTCACATATTTTTATACTGGGCTATGTGCTCCATCACGAAACAGCAAAAAAACAGAATATCCTTTGTTTTCTAAATTTGTTCTTAAGCTATTGTAACGAATACACCAACTGATTCGCCATTTTATTCATAGGGATATACATGGTGGGTAATATTTCGGACCAGCTAACATTTCAGCGGATTTCGCCTTCTTCTAAGCAGTTCCGTGCCTAGTCCTTCACCGGATATTCCAAATAAGGCCAACCATACAGAGCTAACATAGATGGGTAATGGGCGGCTCACATGTTTATTTCGTGTATGCTTATCAATAAAACAGAGAATTATTTATGAGTGCTGAGGTTAATAGAAAGTTGGACTTGGTATTGGACCAAATTATTCGAGCTTATGTTCCTTTGAATGTGCTTGGTAGACTGTCCCAGCCCCTTCTGATTGCCATTTATTGTCTGAGCTCCAAAAAACATACATCAGCCACAGCCTACATTCAATTTCTTTCTTGTTCCGTCTTCTAATTCACCAGTCCTCTTTGCATTGGGAATCACGACCTACAATTATTAGAAGTACGCAAATGAGTGTCGAGAAAGCAAAAAACAAAAATCGCTCCTTCTCTTCCACAGAGTTGCTATTGAAAAATGTAAAATGCTTCAATGCCTCTATGCCGCTACAAGACTTTGAAAGAGGAAACTTTCCATTGTGGGTACCTAGAGAGAAAGTGCACCACTGTTGACACCCACGTAGTCGCCCTTGAATTGTTCCACTCGCAACCAATATTTCTTTGTTGAAAGGAGAAGGAAAAAAAAAGCCATTGTGTGCGAAAAGTTCCATAGTGTAATTGAAGCACGTTGCAATAATGGTGTTTCATTCATGAATTTATCTCAGCAAGTAAGTGAATGTGAATGTTCTAAGTACGAAATTCCAAACAGAAAACAGTGTGAATTCTCGGTATTGTTGAGAACACGTTTCGATGTGGTTGGTGCTATCAGGTAAAAGAAAGAAATAACCTATATCACCCACAACTCCGTTTGCCATCTGGCTACTCCATTCGACACAAGTAGCACTTTCTCAAAGGATACGTATCATGCTCCTCTTACGAAGCCTTTCCTGTTGCTGTCTTTGGCGGGAAGGCGGCTATGGTCTGTCTGCTGGATTCCACCGTGGAGTAAGATCACTCTTAGCTGGATACGGTAGGGAATCGTAAAAGTTCTTCTCAGTTTGGGTAATTCTACTAGAGGAACGAACCCCTATTGCACATCACAGTTCGAAACTCGGCTATTACCTTCAGTGATAGTAAATCACCAGTGGCATGGGAATAAAATTAGGCTCCATGTTAATAGGCGGGATTTTATCGTTTCTAGGAAGTTCCAAGAGCCAAAAAACTTTACAACTGTCTCCTGCTTGCCCATACACTAAATTACATATCTATGTAGCTATATATACACATATATATATATGGCGCGTGTGGCGCAGTGGTTGGACGCGCCACTGCGACACATACGTGCAATTGATCCACGAGCCCATGGCCCACCAAGCCTTCCATCTCTCTGGCGTCGGTAAATTGGTACCAGACTTGTCTGGGAGGATAGCAGCACTGGTTCGATTCATCGGTAGGCCACCGCGAGTCACTGTGAAGGCCAGATATGCATTCAATCACCTCCAACTATACTTAATGAAGTCGAATGCATGGCGCATCCCTCAGGGATTGATCAACGCCGAGAGCTTCATCCTTTAACCCTTATGTACATATATATATATATATATATATACAAAATGTATACCCAACCATTCATAAAAAAGGCTGCCGTACCTGCTCTACCGGTTTTATACAGATGGTGTTAAGCAGCAGGGAATACGGACAACGCATAGTCGATTAGGATTCGCGAAAATCTGTTTACCTTTCAAAAACGTGATAAATGTCATCTGGTTGGTGTAATTTGAGAATGCCAAGAAATCACGCCATTGCATGGTTTCTTTAAAGTGCGCTGTTTGGCTTTAAAGAAAGAAACAGTGAGGCCAATGAGATCCTCTTAAGATTAGGAGACATATAGAAAGTCGTCTGGGTGGGCTTAGAAACTTAACTATTTCGAGAAAAGTTTAATGTTCACTTAATGAGGTGTTCCGAAATCAATTATGGATACAGTGAGGCTGTAAAAGGAAATGTACTTCATAATTTGCTCTCACTCAATTACCGTTTTCCTGTTCTGCCAGATAGCGTGAATTTTTACGATTTTCGCACAGATTAAATTGTAAAATGTAAAATATCAGAAAAATGAATGAAAACGAATCACTGCTTGTTTTATAACACGCTCTGAAATACTAGAGGAAATGGCAAGGATACCCCGTTCGATCTCTGGCTTTTATTGCGTTGGTGAGTCGGCAAGTAGAACACCATCAAGTAGACGACCAAGCAGCTCATGAGTAGCCATTTCGATTTGAAGATTAAGTCCCTGACTTTTCTCATGGCCCATTGAATGGTGCTAAATTCCAGATCGTCGCTGTTCTGAATGGTAACATGTGTTTCAGTGAAAGAAAGAAGTGAGGACGATTTGGAAATGGATATGTGCGTTACATGGAAGGATAGGGTGGAATGAAAGTTGGATGTACAGAGTGAGGAGAATACAACGTCGGTATAGCATGAATACGTCTGAAATAGAGAGAGAGGCAGAGAAGAAGGGGAACTTCCGTCTTTCACGAGAATCCGAAGGTTTTTGGCTTCTTGAAAAGCGCTCATGTGCAGATCTTGTGTAGGCTTCAAAACGTGCATGCAGAATGGGAAGTTCAAGGTTGTACGACGTTATTTTGATAACATCTAGACCAAATTGCGTATTTACCTAACTGATACGAATAAATGCAGTTTTACTTCATTATGATGTGTAAAACACTTGTATAAGTATACTGCCCATAGTTGTTGACATAGGAGTTGTTACCTTTAAAAACAAGAATGGAATCGATCATAAAAAATCGTAGGTGAAGACAGAAAGTGAAAGAGGATCAAAAATGTTTGAACGTAAAGAAAAGGACTGAGGAAATAAGGAGGCTGAGAAACAGTCGAGTTAGCCGAGTCTCTCAACTTTGACTTCGATTCTTCTGAGACAAATGACTTTCATATATCAAGCGAAACTAGATCAAAACTAATCATTTTGTGATGGACAACCCGATGTGATTCAGAGCGTAAAGGATCAACCAAAATATACCGACAAGGCCTTATTCGTGGTGCTTCAAAAGCTTCGTTTTAGCGATGCAGTGCATTTGATACGTTTTTGATGCTTGCATGGCTGCACCAAGTGACATTCATTGCTCAGCTGCTTCGATCCGTAACAGTCGAACCAGCGGGTGATTAAGCCGGCCAGATAGCCTCGCTTTGGCACTACCGGCACATTGGGAGTAGAGCCGACTGTTAGCTCTAACGTTCGTTGAAACGATGTGTTGCGATGTCTTGCGGCAAAAAGAAATTCTAGAAAAGGAGAAAAATGTTTAAAAACCTTAACTATTTCTAAGTTAATGCTTGATCTTACAAAATTTCGAGGAATTAATTACGAGAGCATGAAATCTTTTTGGGTCTTCGAGATCTGGGAGAAGTAAGGCACGCCGTTGCAATATTAAATCCAGCTGTTGTTCTTTACAAGAACCCTTGTCTTATGAAAAAATTCTTAGCGCTTTAGATACTCGAAAACATGGATATTGGTGGAAGGGTAAAAAAGACGAGAAGGAAAAAAGAATCTTCAGGTCTTCAAAATTTGTAATCAAAAACCCAGCTAGCTTGGAAAGCAACGGGTAAAGGAGAGGGAATGACGTGAGCAATGTGCTGACGGACATTTTAGTGAGGATATACAGATGAATCACTGTGTCCTCATAGAATGCTTTACATATTTTGTTTTTTTTTGTTTTTACACTGAATAAAAAACTCTCAAGCAGGTACTCATCCTATAATAGCAGGCAAATCCAAACTAAATCATAATTTTGCGCAGATTAGAACACTACTTTCTTCAATACTTGAACGGCCAGTCCTCACTGATTATGTGGGTCCCAGCATAATTCCCAT